TTGGAAAGCACTGAGATTATCCATCCCCGTTTCTTTTATATTTATATTGTTTATTATTGTTTATTATTACTCTTATTAGCTCGAAACCCCTTTTTTCCACCCCCACCCCACTTCACTTTCCTAAGCTCTGTACCCTCTCCACTCCGATTCTCTGTGCCACCAGGGAGTGTTTTCGCCGTTATTTTCCTACGAGTCGGTTGATCGGTTAAGAATACCCCTTTTTTCCTCCCTGGCGCTTAAGCTTCAGCTTCCGGGGTTCCGCGCTTCCGCCCCTTGGGCCTTCGCCTCGTGTCGCCCCCGAACGTGCCCCCTCTGATGAGTCTCGATTGCTACAGCCATGTCGCAAGTTCCGCGAGAAAATGATGAAAGCTCGCCAACTTCGTCTAAAAATCAATCCAGCTACCCAGTCAACAACGGCCTCATCCCGCGGGATTATTTAGCTCGATCCGATCAACGCCCCGGACCTGCTCCTGGTTCTCGACATATAGCACCTTCCCCGTTGCATACAAGCTCCCTACCTCAGTCGTACCGCGTCGACGATTCTACATCATCCCAGAGTCCCCTGTCTCCGAAATCCAACTCTTCTTCCTCCCAGGATCGGTCGCCAATCACTCGTGTGGCCCATGCACCATACTCTGCGCCACCTTTCAGGACTGGTCAGAGTATGTCGCAATCACCAGAAATGGCAGGAACGGAATCGGTGAATGCCAGTGTCCGACCTGGCGAAAGCAATATGCCGAAACAATCTCGTGCACCAGAGCCCGATCGATCCACCTCTTCCTCCGTCAGCTCTATACACTCGATGCCGGGAGATCGCGCACCAAATCGTGCCATGCCTCGCACCTCGTCGATTGACTCTGCTATTTCATCCTTGTCCTCCAACTCTCAGAGATCGGCCTTTGATGTCAATGCTCTGAATCCAGCCGACATTCACAATCTCATCAATGCCGCTGGATCTGCCGAGGCTGTGATCATGCACCTCTTGAAAGAGAAACACCAAGCGGCCTCTCAGAATGCGCAACTTTGGAAATTGGTTGATAAACAAAGGACTTTAATCCTCGGCCTTAACAAGGATCTAGAGCGAGCTTTCCAAGAGAAGGATAAATATCGGAAGAAGCTTAAAGATATACAAGACGCTCCACCATTACCCGTTGCCGGGCCCGTGGCCTCTGTGGCCGCACAGAGCAGTGACAAAGAGAAACCGTTGCGTAAACCTGACCAGCCATCGATTGTCCCACCATCCGAAGCCTCTCGGCGGGGCTTCGAAAACACCACAAGCCCAGTCTCTGCCACAGATACCCAATCTCCAGTAGGAGACGGAAAGAGCAGGTTTCCACACCCAAGTCGCAAACCACCGCCCGCGCCTCTAAATCTACGACAAGCAGACAATAAAAGGGCATCTTCAGCCTCCGATTCCGATTCCGGTTCCGATTACGGCGACGCTGAGGATATAAATGGGATTCCGAGTGCGGGCCGTGGGCGGAGAAAGACGAGAGAGCAGGACGACTGGGACCGCGAAGCTGCGCTGCAGAAGGATATGTTTGGATCCACCGGTTCCGTTGGACTGCCTCATGCAGCATCCTCTCATAGCTCCCGGGATACAGCAACGTGTAGCCCGGAAACGGTCCCCAGGGAGCTTTCTACGAGATCCCCGCCGAATGTGGGTGATTCTAATTCATTGGGTTCGCTTTTGGGCGCTCGGCCCCCTCCCGCTTCGTCCTTTAATGGGCGCTCTCTCTCTGCTATGCCGATGAGCCCTGGACTGCCTTTGAGCCCGAGACCAGAAGATCGGCCCATTAATTCCCCAATGCCTCGCATGCCACGAGACATGTCCACTTCCATGGCAGCCGGGTATCAAGCCCCAGGATTGCCGCTCTCTCCAAGAATGGCCAACCACCCCACGGGCTTTCCTCCCATCCCTCCGGGACGTCCCAGTGGCCCTATCCCATCAATTGATCCCACGGTCATGATTGACAGCCCGAGATCTGCAAATTTTCCAGACAATCAAATCTACCGAGGATTGATGTCTGATGAATACCAGGGGCTACTTTTGCCTCCGAATGCCCTTCCTCTGGTTCAAGTCAGAGTATCTTCGTCGCGGCTTCGTCCTTCCCGGAACAGCTATATGGTGTCCAAGCCCCTGGACGAGGAGCCTGTTTTTACTCTCAGTGTGATCCTACGATCAGAGATGTCAGAGCTATGGCGGGTTGAGAAGGTCATCGGTGCTTTGCCACAGCTAGATCAAAAAGTCCGACAATCTTCTCCCTTCCCTGGAAAATTACCGGATAGAAGTATTTTCAGCGGACATTCCCCTGCTAAGGTTGACTTGAGACGTGCCGCACTGAATGCGTACTTCGACAAACTTTTGGACACGCCAATGGATGAGAATGCCGCGCTAGCTATCTGCCAATTTTTGACAAGCGATGCCATCGAGCCTCGAGACGACGAAACAAGTCTGCTGAAAGGTCTCGCCCAGACAAGGCCCGATATGCCACGTGGGCCAGACGGAAAGCCTCGAAAGGAAGGTTACTTAACCAAACGAGGCAAGAACTTTGGTGGCTGGAAAGCTAGGTATTTTGTTCTTGATGGACCTGAACTAAGATACTACGAATCTCCGGGTGGTCCGCACATGGGTACTATCAAACTCCATCATGCCCAGATCGGCAAGCAATCGCCAAAATCTACCGAGAGTGCTTCAACTCCTGGGGGCGACGAAGACTCTGACAACCAGTACCGCCATGCATTTTTGGTTTTGGAACCGAAGAAAAAGGATTCTTCGGCACTTGTTCGGCATGTTCTTTGCGCCGAGAGCGACGAGGAGCGCGATACATGGGTTGATGCCCTCATGGAGTATGTTGAGAGTACTTCTTCCGAGAATGAGGGACGTGGCAGCGTATCTTCTAAAAGTCAGCCTCAGTCTCAAGATGAATCCCAAATACAACAAAAGCAACTCTCCGGAGCCGAGAGCAAGTCTAAAAAGTTGAACGGAAGCAAGAGATCCGGTCGAGGAGTTGATAGTCCTGACCAGGATCTAGGAGTCTCTGTGCAGGGTTTCAGCTTTGATGACGCAGTGCAAGCTGATCCTCCCACTATTGGTTCCACTCTTGAGCAAGCTCCCCGATCCCCACGACTCCCGACGGCTTTGTCGACAGAATTCAGGGACATGGCCATGTCTTCTCCCGATCAAGCATTGCAGTCTCCCAGACTAATATCTCGGCCGACAAACGGCACCGTCATCCAGGACGTGGAAGCCTGGGGCAACAAGGCAAAGACGTCGACGAAAGAAAAGAAACGCAGTATCTGGGGTTTCCGTACCAGGTCCTCTTTCGATCTTGCCGCCCAGGCAAGCGGCGATACATCAGTAGCAAGCAACACTGTTGAGAGGACAGGTCCTGTTAGACCTGTATTTGGTATACCCCTGGCAGAGGCCGTACAAGATTGTGGACCGCCAGGCATTGATGTGGAGCTGCCGGCAGTGGTGTATCGCTGCATTGAATATCTTCATGCCAAGGAAGCCGCTTTGGAGGAAGGAATCTTCCGTCTAAGCGGTTCCAATGTGGTGATCAAAGCTTTGAAAGAACGGTTCAACACTGAAGGTGATGTTGATTTCGTGTCTGGGGATCAGTACTACGACATTCACGCTGTGGCTTCTCTCTTCAAGCAATACCTCCGAGAGCTTCCGACCACAGTTTTGACCCGGGAGCTTCATTTGGACTTCCTTCGTGTTCTCGGTATGTACTCCTTCGGCGCTGTATTCTTTTCTCCTGCTAATCTGACCGAACAGAACTTGACGATCGCCAGAAGAAGGTCGCTGCCTTCAACTCTCTGGTACATAGATTGCCCAGGCCCAATCTCGCATTGCTACGGGCACTATCTCAATTCTTGATCGAGATTGTGAACAATGCCGATGTGAACAAGATGACGGTCAGGAACGTGGGCATTGTCTTTGCTCCAACACTCAATATCCCGGCGCCGGTCTTCTCGATGTTCCTCACGGACTATGACAGTATCTTTGGCGATACCGATTCGAGATTTGCCCAGCCGGCTACGGAACTGACAGTTGAAAACACACTCTCTCCCGATGATATTCGTTCTCCGCGTCATCAAATGTTTTCGGATCTTCCTACACCTTCGTACCAGCAGACTTCGTTCCGAACCACTGGCGATGTAAACGGTCCTTCCGATGGCTCGAGAACACACTACGACACTGGTTTCACCCCAATGCAACCTAGCTATGACCAACCGACGTCCAGACATGAGCAATACAACCAACCTCCGGGTGCCGGCGCTTCGTATTCTTCTTTGAATGGCATGTTGGGGCCCAACTCGGAAGACACTCGCTCGGCGAAGACGAAGCGACGAGAGAGTTCAATGCTCTTTATGGATGGTAAAACCCAAGCACGAGAAGATCTTCACGGCCTTTACTAACCTATACTGTCCATGAAGATCCTTCCTTCTACCAGGGCAAGTGAATTATGATTCGCTTCTCACTGGTCTTTTCTTTTTCTTTTTTTCCGCGCCTCTCTGATTCTGGACTGACCCAGTGGTCATACCACTCTTGTCCGGCAAAATTACGACTTGCACGACTGCAGAATGATGACTTCACCCACTTGGCAATCTCAGCAAAGTCGCGAGGGAATGTTTTAATGATAATGGTAATCAAGATGCGGTACGCCAAGTTTGATGGGTTGTCCATCTTGGAGTTGAGAGTTCCCATGCCATGGTCAACAACTTTGACCGTCGTTATACCCCCTTCATTTTTTTTCTTTTCTCTTCATTTCTTCCCCCTCATATTTCAGCGCTTCCACTATGGCTCGATATCCGATGTCCATATATTATTATCTACTTATTTATCTGGAGATTTGGTGGCCCACTGCTACGCGATATGGAGGCTGGCACGCTTTGCCGATTTATGTTTTTACCATTTACACGATTTTTGATGGCGGGATACAAATTTCATTTCATCTATATGTAACATCCATTCCCGTGGCCTCGCTCACTCAGAATCGTCTTGTATTTTCTCCTCTCCAGAAACCCATGAGTTCACCGGTCTCCCTTGTCCAATCTCGGACACCATCCACCAAGGCCTTGGCCATTCCCTTGTTCTTGGACTTGCCATCAGAGGGACCTAGGCCAGTGGGTTTGGCACGTTCCCCGGTGGCATACTCCGAGCCCATGCTTGGCAACACATTTTCCCCCGCGCTCAAACTAACAAACAGAGCGAATGGAACTAGCCAAACGCACAGTCCAAAGTATGAAGCCACTTCAGAGAAAGAGGGCATCTCATCGTAATTGACTCCATACGGTTGACGCCAGTTGTTCGACGGAGGTAAGGGCTTCGAGAAATGACGGAACCATAGCCAGTGGTTGAGACCAACCAGAAGACAAGAAAGGATGAAAAGTGGATCAGATAGTTTCACGATGGGGAATCGGCGCAGGTTGCTGGCGTAGACCATGTGCGAAGCAATGCTGAGCAGAGACAAATACACAGGGAAACGGTCAATTATCATAAGCAGAACTTGTATCGCGACGATGCCGTAGATCAGACGGGTCAACAGACGGCGGGCAAGAACCGTGTGTTCTTCCACAAGCTCGGATAGATAGTAGAGTCCCGAAGCTGGAGTTTCAAAGTCAGCTTTTTCCATTCTTGTCAAGATTCCATGTCCCTCCATACCTATGGCCAAGGTGAGAAAGGCAAACCCGACAACCACCCCGAAATAACCGACTAATGGTAGAACCCACATGATGTCCAGTGAAGACAGAGCTGTCGGACAGTGATAGTGTTGAAAAGTAAAGAGGCAATCAGCCTCAGAGAAAGAGATTCGAGATGCAATCGGAGAACGTGGACGTTTTGGGGTATGGCTGCCTCAGGCACTACCACCAAAAATAATTTAATGAATTTCTCAACTTTAACTTACGCAACTTGCACATCCAATACCACACACAATGTCGCGCCCTGAAGATATCCTGTATGACAGTCTGACCCTACTCTACAGATCTTGAACAAGAAAAAGAAGAACTAATATCGTATCTCGAAAACTCCAGCCCTCCGGACCTGTTCTACAATGACAATGAATCGCGAAAGTATACAAAGTCCTCGCGAATTCGCAACATCCAAGCCAACATGACAAGTCGCGCACTGGAACTGCTCGACCTAAAATCCCCATCCTTCATCCTCGATCTCGGCTGCGGCTCCGGTCTCTCCGGCGAAATGCTCTCCGAAGTGGCAACCGAAGAAGGTGGCCCGCACACATGGATCGGGATGGATATTTCACCCAGCATGTTGGACGTGGCTTTACAACGCGAAGTGGAAGGCGATCTATTCCTCGCAGATATCGGACAGGGAGTTCCATTCCGACCGGGCACATTCGACGCCGCAATCAGCATCAGTGCAATCCAGTGGCTGTGCAATGCGGAAACTAGCGATGTCACTGCTGAAGGTCGTCTGCGACGCTTCTTTGAAGGTCTGTATGCCAGTCTTCGTCGGGGTGGACGTGCAGTGTGTCAGTTCTATCCGAAAAATGATGTCCAGCGAAGTATGATCAGTGGTGCGGCAATCAAAGCGGGCTTTGGTGCGGGTATCCTTGAAGATGATCCCGGGACTAAGAGCAGCAAGTTGTATCTGGTTCTGACTGTTGGTGGTGGTGGTCTGACTGGTGATATTACTGGTGTTGTGAATGGCATGGATGATGTCAATGTCTTGGATGCTCGGAAGAAGGCTGCGGAGATCAATAATGCCCGTGGACCCCCAAGGAAGGGTGACAAGGCTTGGATTTTGAACAAAAAGGAGCAGATGGCGAAGAAGGGCAAGGTCGTCAAGGCTACCTCGAAATACACTGGCCGCAAACGACGAATCGCTTTCTGATTGAACTGCTTTGTCTATGGGCACCGCCGTCTTTCTGGTGGATTCAATCAAAAAGAGAAGCAAAACAGGAGAAAAAGCCTGATGGAAGAGTGTTCAGTTCATTCTCCTCAAGTATATAACTTGCACCCATTCTGTCTGTGTATGCGCATTCCCTCGGGCGTTATCCACACGCCTGGATCGGAATCTGGCAGTATTGTCGAGGGATGCTCATGGGGTCACCTACATGTTCGACTCGGGTCAAATTAGTCGATTGTGAAATGCCTGCTAGAGAGCTCGCAACGGGTTGGGGATTGGGAGGTTGAGCTCTTTTCCATCTGAGCACCATGATAGGAAGCTGGCCCATTGAAGATTCATGGCCTACTTTGATGTTTATACCCAACTACTAATGCAATGAATGTCCACGTAATGATCACAAAAGAAAAATTGTCTATTGCTATAAATTGCCGGGGAACGTTTCGAGCTAAATTGAAAGGAAAGATAATACATCAAATGAGAACCACACCGACCGATTCATGTGCAAAACACCAAGAATCAGCAGGCAGCATCCTCAATCGTAGCGGTAGGTATATTGGAGCGCGCGAGATTCCAAAATTTACAGAGAAGCCTCCATCTTGTCCAAAACAGCCCGGGTGAACTCGTGAGTGGAGGCCTGACCACCCATATCGCGGGTCATAGTGCGGCTAAAAGAAAGTCAGCAAGGTCATTTTTCATATGCGTACTAGTGTTCACTCACCCTTCACCGATAACATCGTAGACAGCCTTGGAAATGCGGTTGGCGTGGTCATCGAGACCAAGGTGGCGCAGAAGCATGGAGCCAGACAGGATCATAGCACTGGGGTTGGCCTGATCCTTGCCCTTGATGTCAAGACCGACGTGACGGCAGCCAGGCTCGAAGACAGCAACATCACGGCCCATGTTGCAACCGGGGACAAGACCAGGTCCACCAACGAGGGCAGCACCAACGTTGGACAGAATGCCACCGTAAAGGTTAGGCATGACCATAACGTCGAACTGCTGGGGGCGGGACACAGCCTGCATGGAAGCGTTGTCCACAATCATGTCGTTCACCTCCAGGGTGGGGTAGTCCTCAGCGACCTTGTGGAATGTGCTGCGGAAGAGACCATCGGCCAACTTCATGATGTTGGCCTTGTGAATGCAGGTAACCTTCTTGCGGTTGTTGGCAAGGGCGAAGCCGAAAGCGAACTTGGCGATACGCTCGGACTTGGCGCGGGTGATGATCTTCAAGGACTCGACAACGCCGTTAACGGACTGGTGCTCAAGGCCGGAGTACTCTCCCTCAGTGTTCTCACGGATGATGCAGAGATCGACATTCTTGTGGCGAGTCTCGTAACCGGGGATGTTCTTGATCAGAGAGATGGAGGCGTAGATGTCCAGCTCCTGACGCAGGGCAACGTTGAAGGATTGGTGGCCCGAGCGCTCAATAGGAGTGTGGAGGATACCCTTCAGACCGAGCTTGTTGCGCTTCAGGGAAGCCAGGGACTCGCGGAAAAGCTCCTCGGAGTGCTTATTACCGGCGTCGACACCGCTAACATCGACCTGCTCCCACTCAATGGGCACGTTGTCCGCCTTGAAGATGGTCTTAACCGATTCAGCGACCTCAGCACCAATACCGTCACCTTGTCGAGTGTTAGTTCAAAGCATGCGCCATGGAAGTAGAGAAGCCGCGAAATATGTGAGGCATACCAGGGATGAGGGTCACGGTGTACTTGCCACCATACTTGGTGGGCTTGAAGATGTCCGACTGAACACTGGCGAAGGCTGCGCAAATTCGTTAGCGGGAGGTAGATTTCGAGGCAGAGGAGATCAATTGGCGTACTTCTGGCGGGAACAGAGCGACCGAGAGACGAAGCTCCGGAAGCGCTGCGGAGCAGAGTCTATAGAGAGCAAGGACAGGTTAGCGAAAGCCCCCAACTGTGCTAGAAAGGATTGAAGTCACGGGGAACGCGGAAACGCGGAAAAGGCAAAAAATGGGGAAACCTTACCCGAGCAGGCTGTGCCGTTCTGGAGAACATTTTGGAATTGATTTAAACAAATGGGAAGGATCACGAATCACCAAAAGGGAGAGGGGGGGTTAGGAGAAAGGGAATGAAAACGGGAAAAAAAGGCTCCGGATGGGCTCGGCGAGCGAATTGTGGTTAGCGCCGGCCCGATCTTATCTATAGGTGGACAACCTCCAAACAATATGAAACAATTCTTATTCATATCCTCTTGGGATCCTCGAATATTTCATACACTTGAGGTCGTGGTCAACTTGAACAAATGATATCTACGGTCTTAACTAGTATCCTCTAGCTCAATTAACTTGGTTTATTAGCCTATTTCTCTGTCGAAGCATTCGACATGATGGCTTGCCCTAGACACTCTCTATATGAGACCTGAATCCCTTATTGGATGGCCAAGCTGACATCGGTCAATAAGTACCCTATCAGAACTGGCGATCTCGAACAGTACCTCTATTCAGGCTGAGATCGCTTGACGAAGACTCTATTCAGAGTCACATGTCTATTCAGAGGAACGACTTCTTCAAACTCATGCCCAATATGCTCTTCTCAATAACGAGACTACTTTTGAACCAGCGATGACACCTGATCTTCACGATATATAACCTCATTGCAGTTCACCTCATCGGTTTTCTTTTCTCCAGACATCTCCATTATCGAGCTTTCTCACTACCTGTTCTTCGTTCTTCAAACCAACTTGCCAATCTCAAAATCCCGGTTTCTCCTTCAGCAATCAAGATGAAGTTCACCTTCGTCGTCGTCGCTGTTCTCGCCGCTGGCACCGTCCAAGCCGCGCCTACTAGTCCCAGCGAAACTCTCCCCAAGTGGTGTGGCCACATCGGCCAGGGCTGCAAGCGAACTGCTGATGCCTCCGTCGATGTCAAGCGCTCTGCTGATGCTCTCGCCGAGGCCATGGCCAAAAACTTGCCCCTTGTTCTTCAGAAGTGGTGTGGCCATATTGGCCAGGGTTGCTACAAGGCCAAGCGTGCCGCCGATGCCGTCGATGAAGTCAAGCGTACCAGCGATGCTCTCGCTCGTGCCATGGCTGCTCTCGAGGAAGAGGATCAGGAGTAAAGGCATGCTACAGTTTCATCTATCCCATGCATGGAGTCAATTGACTAACCTTTCCCAGTGTCTCCTTTACTTTGAGTTACATGGTGCTGCATGTATCAACAGAGATTGCTCGATAGCTCCCTTTTCAATTACCGATATCCATGACACCATTACTTTTTTCGATATGAAGCTTATGGAAGCACGGTTGGATATGATGAATTGCTTTACGAAAATGCCAATGGCGAACACTCTGTATCTTCACCGTTGATAATGGCATTGGTTTCTGATTAAATCAGCGTTTGAATTGTGGGTGTTGATGGATCATTTCCCAGAGAAATATGTATCTAGAATCAAAGAATTCCATCCCCTTTTGACACCTCTCAATTCAGAATCCCAAAAGAAGGTGTTCCGGTCAGCTTAGGTAGCCGCTAAATTTGGCTTTCATTTGGGGTATTTCTTTAGGTATTCCTTAAGCTGAGGAGGGAACCTTTAGGATATAGTTGGTACGTTTCCTTTATACTGACCGGGGGCATATAAAGGCGAAGGGGCGGCAAGAACAACAATAATAGAGATATATACACGAAATGAATTCGTTCCAATAGATTATTCTGACAACACTAATGGTGGTAAACACCACAGCTCGGGTAATATCGTCTCATCTCTTCAAATGCGCCATAGTGTGATTCCATCGGACCGGCTTTCGTCAGCTCCCACCATTGCTGACCTTGATACACCGGGTCCTTTGAGCCAACGTAGGTTTCACCGGTGGTGGGCTCTTTCGGGAGATGAGAGGCTCGATTGGCAACGTTCTCGTAGCCAGATACCATGTACGGTTCAGCATCAACATAAGTATTTCCATCTCCACTGTCGTCCATAGCAGAATCATGCATAGCAAAGTCCCCAGCAGGGGCGCTAGCTTCATTCCCAAATTGCGAGTAGAGCTGCCATGTTTGAATCAACCGTTCTCTCTGTTCTGCGTCGGCGTTTTCAAAGAGCGCAAGCTGATCTGAAGTAAGGACATTTGGATCAAGACCGTGATGTCTCAGAAGATCAATGCTTGAAGATTGGTTTGTGTGCTGGGCAACTCTGTGAGCCGAGTGGTGGTAGTGTTGGGTAATGCTGTATGCAATTTCTGGCGCTTGAGATGGTACGATGGTTTCTCTAGGGGCGGGATGCAGCTGTGTCATACTCATTTGCCTATCAAATAGAGCTGAAAGTTCGTCTTGGACTTTCGAGTCACTTTCGGAAGCAGACAGGCCACACTATGCTCCTGGTCAGGTTCCTTGGCATGACAAGATAAGAACGAGTACAATCTACCTGTTTACAGTGGGGGTTCTCGATAAAAGCTGCAAGTGCATTTGAGATATCGGAGACGTGCCCGCAGTGCGGGCACTGATGTAGTATCGAGGAAGACATGGAGGGATTTCTGTGTAGTTCAACAATATCCGAATGAACGGGAAAATGTCGAACTCGATTCAAAATGTTTTTTCCCTGTTAAAACGGATATGAGAAGGAATTTAGAGAGTTGTGTCTTTTGTTTAGATCGAGGGGCAAAGATGCCCAAGTGCTTGTTCGGTTGGGCTGCAGTTCCGAGTGGCCAAGGAGATGTTCAAACGTTATACTGCTTATTTTAAAGCCTATAATATACACATGGCGAGCTCATAATATGCCCATAGTGTGTCTATTGTGTGTCCATAATATACCCAAGACTATAAGATACCGAACTGATACCTTCTGAGTCCGTAGAGAAGACATACAAACCGAAGTACCAATTAGGTATCTCGCAGTCATGTGACTGGAAGCTCTGCCAGGCAACCCCGTGACGCGACAGCGTCACTGCTTAGCCTAGGAACCTCCGTTATCATCCCCAGAGCTTCCAACCTCACCCTACCTATCCACTGTCTCCTCCAAACCGGCCATTTTCTTCCCTTATCTGTCTAATATACGGATTAACTCTTTCGATCGGCCTACCCACGGTGACGTCTGTTGTTCTTGAACCTCACCGCATCGCAAAATCATGGTCAGTCAGCTTCGGATCTACACAATGTGCTATGTTGTATCCGAATCAAGCTAACAGGGTGACTATACAGACGTCAATCGGCACAGGCTACGATCTCTCCAACTCGGTGTTCTCGCCAGACGGCCGGAATTTCCAGGTACCCAAATACACCCCAGCTCATGAATGAGCCACACCCAGCTTCACGCTGCTGACCATACCATCTAGGTCGAGTATGCCGTCAAGGCAGTCGAAAATGGAGGCACCGCTATCGGCATTAGATGCAAGGATGGTGTAGTGTTGGCAGTGGAGAAGATCATCACGAGCAAGCTCCTAAAGCCAGGCGCGAACAAGAGAATCGCGTCAGTCGATCGCCATGTTGGAATCGTGAGACCCCGTTTCCCTTTTTCCCAATATCGCCTCTTCCTAACGCGATGCGTTTTCATTGAAACCATGCTGTCAGGGAAGGCTTCAAATACCCCGTTGCTAATCTGGCTTCTTCCTACCGATGCAGGTATCCGCTGGACTCGTCCCCGATGGTCGTCACTTCGTTTCCAGAGCTAGAGATGAGGCTTCCTCCTGGAGAAGCACATACAAAGGTCCCATTCCGACCTCTGCGATCGCCAATCGCTTGGGTGGGTATGTGCAGGCGTACACGCTCTACTCCAGCGTACGGCCCTTTGGTGTAACTGCTATTGTTGGCGGGTGGGATACCGAGGCGGAGCTTCCAGTTGATGGACAGGTTGGCAATGGACCTAAGTCTGGCTCCGGTGGAAAGGTTGAGGGTGCCAAGGCTGGAGGTCCTGGCCTATACATGATTGAGCCTAGTGGACTGTATTGGGTACGTTGCGACTTGGTTGTGCGTGAGAGAGTAGATGGATATGCTGACAAGAATTGGTAGGGCTACTACGGTGCTGCTACTGGCAAGGGACGACAGGCCGCCAAAGCTGAACTCGAGAAACTAGACCTGAGCTCGGGAAATCTATCTTTGGCAGATGGTGTGAAGGAAGCTGCCCGCATTATTTATGTTGCCCATGAGGACAGCAAGGACAAGGACTTCGAGCTCGAGATGACCTGGATCAGCTCGCTCGATGGACCTACCAAGGGCCGCCATGAGGAAGTGCCCAAGGAAATCCTTGAGGAAGCAGTGGAAGCAGCAAAGCGAGCTCTGCAAGGAGACGATGAAGAAGAGGAGGATAAGGGCGAAGGCGAACAGATGGAAGAGTGAACATGTAATAGATTATGCTCCCAAAGAATTATGCTTCTGTGAAGTGTTCCTTTCTTACTCCAACGAAAAACAATCTACCTGCGAAGCACCAATTTGCTTAAGTACTAAAAAGCCACACCAGACATGTTAGAGGGTCCAATCGTAGCCCTCGAGCCTCAAAAGATACAACAGATATCTGCAAGTTATCACAAGAATTACAAAATCTTGCCCTCAGCCCACTCCCTCCTCTTGAGACCCAACTCCACAGCAGCACTTCCCCAGTCCTCACCGTGGTTGTGCATACCACTGTTTCCAAGGCCAGCCCGTTCCAATCCCTGTTCTTCCGTCAGGACGGTGAGCAAACCAAAGATGACAGGAACACCCGAATCAAGCTGGACGCGCATAAGCCCATGGCTGACCGCGTCAGCGATATATTCAAAGTGCATAGTAGCGCCCTTAATGAGGACACCAATGGCAATGATAGCATCGAAGGGTTTCTTCGGGCTGGTGGAGTTGGCAGCGCCAGACACCTCGGTAGTGGGCGATGACAGGAGGTCAGTGGCACTGATGCCCTGGATGCCCTGCACGGAGGAGTTGGCCTGGAGCTGGGAGGCGGTGTAGAGGCTGGAAGGTGGTGTTAGTTAAAGCTATCGCGGTAGATACAGTACACAGTACACAGTACATATGTATACAGTATGTAGTATATAGTATGTAGTATGTCATGTGTGATATCGTCCCCGCACTCACCGTTGCACTGCGAGAGGCAGCTCGTAGCTGCCGGGAACTGTCTGGACTGTGATGTTCTCCTCCAGCACGCCGGCTGCTAACAGGTTTTTCTTCGCTCCTGATACCAGTTGTTCGATGATCACTGTGTTCCATCTGGCGTGCACAATCGCGACGCGGAGTCCAGAGCCTATTGTCAAATCGGTATTAGCTAGAGAGTCTCTTCAAGGGCTGTCGTATGCTTTCACCATCGTGGGTCTGGGCAGCGCCGGGGCCTTTGATAGTAGTCATTGTTAAGACGGGCTGATTAGTTCGAGAAAGGAGAGATGGTGCTGTTTTCTTGGGGATTGGGAGAATTGAGCTTGACACAAGTATTTAGGAATCAGAAGAGCTCGAGGGGCGAATCCCTCGGTCCCGCATTTGGTGGGGGGAAGGAAGGCGGAATGTCATCACCCACGGCAATTGAGCGCCAATGGGATTCAGCAATCTGGACACATACTCTTTACGGTGAACAATACTAGTAGGCAATGGGCTCATAAAAGGGGTATTCTTTCCTTAAAAAAATAATAAAACGAGATTCCATTGTCCCGAAGCTGAAAACACCTAAAGATAAAAAGATGACCGGATCATAAGAATCGTCTAACCTTGCCCTAAAGAAACATTTACTCGACAGTGACCGACTTGGCCAGGTTACGAGGGAAATCGACATTCAGTCCCTCGGCAACGGCAAGCCAGTAAGAGATCAGCTGCAATGGGATCACATTGAGCAGACCCTGAAGACAATCCACAGTCTTGGGCACGTTGATCTTCTCGGTCAGGGCGGATGAGAACTCGGGATCATCGTGGTTGCAAATAACAATGGGGCGACCACCACGGGCAATGACTTGCTGGTAGGCGTTCAAAGACTTGGTGAACAGGTTGTCACGGGTGAGAATCATGATAATGGGAAGGTTCTCGTCAACAAGAGCCAAAACACCGTGCTTCAATTCGCCCGACATGACGGCTTCGCAGTGGAGGTAGGAGATTTCCTTGATCTTCAGGGCACCCTCAAGGGCAGTGGGGAATTGAGCACCACGGCCCAACAGCAGCAAGCTC